TTATCCCGAGCGGTCGTCGAGCCCCGTCGGTAGCAGAGATTTCTGAAGGCTCCCCGTTGCTATTGCCACTGCAATTATCAGATTATTGCCGTGCGACAGCGCGCGGGCCCTCTTGCTCTCTTGGCAGTTCGGTTTAATAACTCGCGCAAAAAGGTATAAAAGACGACACGACGGCAGATAGAGGCAGATAGAACGGTCGGAGACCGCCAGAGTCTTATCGAATCGCGCGCGGCAGGGTCCCAGAAAGGTGCTGCGCTCCTCCGCTGGTCCTGACGGCGGGAGCAAGGGAGGAGAGGAAACGATGACGGCGCGGCGCGGCGCGGCCAGGAGGTAGCGAATGAGTACGCCCACACCGTCCTCTCTCCTCTCTCTCTCTCTCTCTCTCTCTCTCTCTCTCTCTCGGGGACCTTCTCTCTCTCTCTCTCTCTCTCTCTCTCTCTCTCTCTCTCTCTCTCTCTCTCTCTCGGGGACCTGTTCTCGGCATTTACGTTCTGACATCTTTTCACTCCGTTTACGAGTCCCCTTTACGTTTTACGACCGATCATCGAGGCCCTTTCTCCCTTCGCGATTGGCGATTGGCCGGCGAGGGCGAGCGGCGCCGGGCGTCGGGGAGAATGATGAAAGGACAGCCACTGTGGCGAGGAAGAAAGGGCGCGCCGAGGACCGCCAAACAAGAGCGAGTTCGCGATCGATCGAAACGATGTCTCTTCTCACGAAGCGAGCGAAGCTTTTCCACCTGAAGGTTGTCGCGCGTCGCTCTCTCTCTCTCTCTCTCTCTCTCGCTCCTCCTCCGACGACGCGCTTTCGCAACCGAGCGCGAATCGAGCGTATCCAAGTGTATCCGCCGCGCTGTATGAATAGACGATGTAAACAGAACTTTTGTTAAGGGGACATGTAGCCAAACACTCGAGGGACAAGCGCTCGTTGCAGGCGCACGTGCTTCTTTTGTTTTTTTTCTCCTTCCTTTTTGCCGCATGTCGTCTCGCAAAAGTGTCATATCGTTGTCGCGATAAAAAAAGAATCGATGGACGGTGCGTTAATATTCATTCCGCTCCTCAAGTGAGCAACGTAAGCAGACTTTCGAGCGCATAAAGCAGTTTTTTGCGCGAACGAAGGCGCGACAGCGCGACGACGAGTCCTTATTCTAGAATCTCGGGAATGCCCCGTGGTGCAAAGTTGAAGGACGCACGTGGACTGGAATCAATAGCGGATCCAGTCGCATTAAGTAAGTCACGCAGCTCCGCGGGTCGTTTAAACGTCGCGTCGCGTCGCGTCGCGTCGCGTCGCGGCGTTCCGCTCGCTCTGCCGCCGCCGGTGCAGATCGGCGGCGGGGCCGCAGGAATTCGCGTGTCACTCCGTCAACGGATTTCTCGGTATTATTCACCGGAGGTAGTAGTAGTATAATAGTAGTAGTAGTAGTAGTAGTAGTAGTAGTAGTAACACAACAGCATGGCCGCGCGCCGAAGATCGGTCTCGAAACGGCGAATGCCCGTCGCGAACGCGTCGGTATGCAGCGGCGACGGCGACGGCGACGGCGGTGGAGGCGCGCTCTCCGCAATCGCAGGAAAACCGTTGGACGGCGGCTCGTCTTCGGTCGTCTGCGATGCGAAGTCCCAGCAGTTTTTCCAGGAAGCCGAGCAAAATCTCTATTCTACGACCGTGACGAGCTGCTATTGAGGGACCCGAGGGGGCGGACCCGCAGCCACGATTATGCGCGCGCGTGGCGCCGAGACACCGTCGTCTCCTTGTCATTGTTGTCGCGTCAACAACGGTCGCGAGAACGCATCGATTTCGTTCGAGATAATCGAACGAGAGGAAAAGAGTCGTGCACTTTCCGACTCGCACACGTGAAAAACAAAGATTGCAACTTTGACGCGAAACTCACTCCCTCCCTCCCTCCCTCGCGTTTGCTCGGCGCGCATACTTTCGGTTCAAATCGATTGGCCAATTATCCTTGCTATTTTAAAGAAACAAATCACAGAGTGGTTGGCGCGAATAAGTCGGCGCTACCGTCGTCTGAATATGGTAATGTGATAATATAAATATGCATAGCAGGGAGATTTTATATATACATATGTATATCTAATTATTAGAATTAAGCAATAATTTATACTCGCACGAATAATGTAATGAAACTTGGTGTGTGCATTTTGTGTGTGTTTTTAAACTAATGGCCGTATTGACGAACGACACTGTACTTCTACGACACTAATTATCCTGCTGTCTGAAGAAGCAATTATTCTTCCAAAGATTTATCGTATCGTGGTGTTGAACGGACAAGAACGCGCCAAGCACGTCTGATTTCATCCAGTCTCAAACTTTGTTGACAGTTTCCCCACAGACATTGTCGTCGAAACGTCTTGTCGAAAAATTGCGGCCGAGATGCGTGGTCGCGTCCCGGACAATTAATCACAGCCCGCACGAGATCCTTAGGATCTCGCCTCGCGTATATGAGAGAACCGCGGATAAGGACGACCGATAAATGGAGTCCCCCGCCCCCGAGATAAGTCCCAAACGCTGCTCGACACGGTGGACACCGAACGGCAACGGAAATTCGCCCACGCCGAAAAAGAAGGGCCGAGTTTAAACGCCAGTCATCGCGACTGTACGGCCGTTGATTCATGCGCTCGTGCTCGCTCGCGCTCGCGCCATTTAAATTTCAAATATTCAGCGGGATACACCTCTCGAGTTACACCGCTCGCGGTCTTATGACAAAGTGCCGTTGTCACGTTGGACAAGACGGGCGGTGTGGGGGGTCTGGCGGCGAATTAAAATAAATAATAAGAGATCCCGCGCGCACGCGCGCGCACACACACACGCGCGCGCGCGCGCGCGCATGCAAGCACGCCCACCGTTTCGTGGGAACTGGCACGTCCGAAAATTCGACGTTTGTTCCGTCGGCGTCGAGAAGGACGATGACGACGACGTCGTTTATCGGCGCATCATTATTCACCTGTCACTCCGTTATCGCGAATCCCGACGACTCGTAGACGGCTTTGCGGCGCTCGCGATTGATCTCGACGCGCAGCTCCCCGGAAAGCACTCTCGTCGGCGTTTTATGGACACTCGAATTAATTCATCTCGGCCTTCTTCTCCTTCGCCGTCTCCGATAAATTTCCTCGCGATCGACGTCGCGATCGCGTCGTCGTCGTCGTCATCAAGTCCGGATGTCGCCTATATTTATAAAATGGGTGAGGTTTCCTCTCATCTCGCTCTTTCTTTCTCTCTTTGGGACATCGAAAGAAGGTTCCGTTAGCTGCGAAATGCCCGAAACACGACCGTGCCACTGTCTCCGCCGACGTCGTTATCGCTGATAATCAGCCCGACATCATCGAGCAAGCGCGATCTCGCCGAGAGACCGAGGGAGAAAGAGAGAGACGATCGTTTCTCGGCTCTTAACGGCGGCGGCGATGCTAATGACAAATGGACAGCCGATATCGTCGCGAAGTAAAAACGCAACGAATATTCTAATCGCGTCTCGTTACGACAAGTAGCCACTTTTTCATCGTTTCCCTCGACCTCCAGAAGACCCCCGTTACTCCGAGATCGCCGCTCGTTCCGAGAGACGAGTCTCGGTCTGCGGTACACACCTGCCGGCCGAGACTGGCTGACTTTGCACGCCACCGCCGCCACCGTCACTGATACCTGTTCTCTCTCTCTCTCTCTCTCTCTCTCTCTCTCTCTCTCTCTCTCTCTCTCTCTCTCTCTCTCTCTCTCTGCCTCTCTCTCTCTCTCTCTGCCTCTCTCTCTGCCTCTCTCTCTCTCTCTCTGCCTCTCTCTCTCTCTCTCTGTGCCTCTCTCTCTCTCTCTCTCTCTCTGCCTCTCTCTCTCTGCCTCTCTCTCTCTCTCTCTCTCTCTGCCTCTCTCTTCCTCCTTGTCCGCCTGTTCCTCATCGAGATCGGCAAGACGGCGAGATTTTTACGCGAACGATCCGCCAGACTGACGTTTAGTCGCTTTTAACGCGATTCGAACGTTCCGACAATGTAGCCGCACTCGTAATAAATCTTTGATGGTTCTTTTCTTTTTCATTTTTTTTGTTTAACTCTGATGACGTTGCTCGTTGATTCGTTCGCTTTTTCTTGTCATGTACCATAAGCCGTGATAGTAAAGTGCGAGAATAAAGTGTTTTACGACTGTCATATTTTACTTGTTTTACATGTATCATTAAGCCCTTTTTAAAGTGATTTCCTGAAATCTGGAAATATACATTACTGATGTCGTTTTGTTCTATCTTTTTTCTTTTTCCTTGTTTCAAGCTCTTGTAACCGTTTCAAGCTCACGACTCAGCGTGGATAGCGTGTTTGTTACGAACCTTCTTATTTGCTCTAGCTATAAATTATAACAAGTTGCAATACGCGACGATTATATTATAAATTTGATTATATATACTTAAAATTTAATACCCCTTCGATTGCGATATTATCGTTGAATAAAATTGCAGTTAATATCATTATAAATAACGTCATGTATCATTACGAATAAGCCGCCTATTAGCACTTCATTTCGCCCCTACACACACACACACACACACACACATACACACACACACACACACACACACACACACACGTCTCACTACGTCAATTACTGTCATTAGCAATCCGGCGTTGTTAACAACAACGTTATGACGATGAAATGTCATTGAAACCGGCGGTTCTCCTTTCCAGCAGCAGCCTGTAATCGAGCTTTATTTTTCGCTGAAGAATGAATTTACAATCATGTATCGGACCAAGGTTGCGAACGACGAGTTTTTCACGAGAATTTCTACAATACGATTTGAAAAGTCAATTTCACACAGACGCGCGCACGCGCGATAGCTTTCACCCGGCTATGTTCCAAACAGCTGCGCGCTGGAAAGGAAAGCGAAAGAAAAGAAAAGAAAAGAAAAGAAAAGAAAAGAAAAGCCGCGCACGACAGATATATTACCGGCGCCGGCGCCGGTAACATTCTTCCGATTCGTTATCACGCTCACGATCACGTTGATCGTTGCTCTGTTTCAGGACGAAGTGGGAGGTAGCACGGTGGTAGTCGAGGGTGTCGTAGGTGGCATAAGGGGCCCAGGCGGCGGGTGCCGCGCATCCTCGATGACGATGGCCGAGAGCGCCGTGGAGGACGCCGCAGCCGCGCCCCCGGGTCCGGCCAAGCCGCCACCGCCGTCTTGCACGAACAACAACACCCTCGCGGCGACGGCCAACCGCAACCACCGGAACCCGCGCAAGAAGCGGAGGCGGCTCGAGCAGGTGGTGGACACGCTGCAGGCCCACCGGAGCTCACCGTCCGAAGGCGAGGTGCTCAAGTTCGAGGGTAGCGCGCCCGCGTCCGAAGAGGAGGACATTTTCGGCTCGCCCAGGTCGTCGTCTTCGCGATCGGCCGCGGACACCACCTCCATGATCGGCCTGGGCCAGCTGTCCCTGAGGCTGAAGGACGCGGACTCGGTGACGTCGTCGACGGAGGAGGACCCGGCGAACGAGAGCGGCGCGCAACCCCACCACCATCACCATCACCACCACCACCACCCCCACCCCCACCCCCACCCCCATCGACCGTACCGTTACTCGTACCATCATCACCATCATCGACACCGTTACTCGCCCTACCAGAACAACCACCGATTATCGGCACCGAGGTACCCCGATTGCATGTGCGCCCAGTGCTCGTCGCAGCAGTCGCTCACGTCGATGATGTTGCCGTCGGCGACGTCGTTGCAGACACCACCGTTGTCGCGGCCCGCTTTCTCGTCCTACAGCAGTATATGCGGCGCGTACAGCAGCATATTCGAGCAGTACATGAACACCAAGTACCTGTCGTCGAGCGACACGTTCCGCGGTCGCAGTCACTCCGACTCGGATGTCGTGCCGAGGTGGGGGGACGAACGGGTGCCCGCCTCTTCGTCCACCGCCTCTTCCGTCGTCGTCGGCCACCCGCCGCGCAGCGGCTCTCTCGAGAGCGACGGCACGAGCCCTCAGGAGTCGCCGTTGGACTTGTCCATGAAGAACCTCATGCAGACAGCGGCGGCGGCGGCGGCGGCTGCGGCGGCGGCGGCCGCCGCCGCCGCCAGGTCGCCGGCGCTGCAGCTCTTGCCACCCGGTATCGTGACGCGAGGCTCGGTCAGTGTGCCTGTGGTCAGGGGCGACGTCGCCTCGCCGACCACGAAGGAGACCGTCGCGGTGCGGTACAACCTGGAGGTGCTACCGGTGGTCGAGGAAATGGCCCCGGGCGCAGACGTGGCTTACGTGTGCCCGGAGTGCGGACAGATGTTCAGTCTCCACGATCGTCTAGCGAAGCACATGGCGTCCAGGCATCGCAGACAAGGTCTGCACGACGCGTCCGCCAAGGCGTACCTCTGCGACGTCTGTCAGAGGAGTTTCGCCCGTTCGGACATGCTTACGAGGCACATGAGACTTCACACCGGCGTCAAGCCGTATACCTGCCGGGTCTGCCGGCAGGTATTCAGCAGATCCGATCACCTCAGCACCCATCAGCGGACGCACACCGGTGAGAAACCGTACAAGTGCCCGCAGTGCGCCTACGCTGCTTGCCGCAGGGACATGATCACTAGGCATCTCAAGACTCACAATAGGTGCGCGGAGGGGCCCACTCCGAAGACCGAGCCTGGTCTGCTCGCTGGCGAGGAGTGCCCCACCTTTGGCCAGAACATGGCCGCCGCACCCTCGCCAGTCATCAAGGCCGAATGACGACGGCCGGCCGGATGACACTGGCTGTGCTCCGACTCGAGGCCCCGACGAGGACATCGCGGTAAGATCGAGCGAGGATCCGCCGCCACGAGGGAAGCCACGAGCAGCCTCGGTCGAACCACCGCGGCAACGCTACGAGGAGGGAACGAGGTCGCCGCTTGACAGCTCTCGAACGTTAGGAATTACTTCCGACGGACAGACGGAAACACACACACACACACACGCACACACACACACACAAAGAGAGCGAGAGAGAGAGAGTCGGATCGGTGGACGGGGGGATTTGTTTCGCTGTCGAGATTCGCAGTTTGCGAGGAGTTTGCGTTTCATCACGAGTCTGAGGACTGAGGAGTATCGAGACGCTGCGATTTCACTCTTTCGCCAATGACGTGCTCTCGAGAAAGTGTTCCAAAGCTTCCCTTTTCAGTCTTGTAAATAATTATCTATTGCACGCGTATATATATATATATATCTACATCGTAAGCATCGTAACCACCGTGACATTCATTAGACTTGTCTACGAAATCACTAAAAATTTTCATTCGTACGCGACACATTTCGATACTTGTGCGTAAATTCGCATTCGTAGACTTTTTGTTCGCACACATTCTCGCCAGCGAAAGAGTTGAATTTGCGAGGTGCGTCGGATTCATCGTGGAATAAAACTGAACGGACGAATGGAAGAGCCGAACTTCCGTAAGTATTATATCGTTTTATTTGTAAGAAAAGAACAAAAAGCCAAGGAACAATTCGATTTTCTCGTTCGACGATTCTCCAGATCTCCACAGAGGGGTTATCTCTTCGTATCGCCAACAGCGAGCTAGAGTGCTAAACAGTATTATTGTACTCCTTTGAGCCCCGTTTCCGATTGATTCCGCTTCTACGACTCGCGTACTCTTGTCAGTCGAAATTTCTTGCTCTAAACGGCTTTCGTCATCACGGCTCTCGTTATCACGACGGCAGCGATCGGTCGCAGAACGGTCCGACAACAGCGTCGTTTTACGGAAATGGGCCCGTGTGCGCGCGCGCGCGATCGATTTCGAGAAAATGGAGATTCAAATTATCAAATTGATCAGCGAGCGTCTCTCGCTGCAAATCTACGTCCTTTCGCTCTCACTTCAACCTCTTCTCTTTCTTCCTCGCGGTTATTCACTCACTTTTTGACGCGCACACGCGGTAGTCACGTGTAAACTGTTTTCGGACATTCCACGACTGTTTGTCGTTGCAGAAAGCGTAACGCACATATCGCCACTCTCGGCTCCTCTTATTTTCCTCTCGATGCATAAAGTTAAGGCGCACAAGCGAAAAAGCATTCCTGCCCCGGCCGCGCTCCCGGCAGGCGCAGCGCGGTGCACGACGGATGTGCGGAAAATCGGTGCTTACGGCTCCGGTGTCAGAGGGCCGGACCGTACTTTACCGCGCTCGCTGCGAACTCTCCGATGAACCTGTATACATAAGCTGTCGTATCTCTCGCGAGCTGTTATCTCCGCGCGGGGACTCCCTTCGACGTTAGCCGCGGCGAGTCGATCGCGAAACATGACCCGTTGACGACGCGAACACACGTGCCAAAATTCTCGACGCAACCTTTCGAACACGCGATCTACGCGCGTATTTAAGCGCCTTGGGCCACTCCCCTTCTTTCGCCCTCTTTGCCTCTCCGGCGCTGTTACATCATCCGGCGAAATTATAAAAAATCCGCATATCGGAATCTCTCTCTCTCTCTCCCCCCCCCTCTCCCTCTCTAGCGAAGAATCCAAAAAACTCCGAGTCCTGTCGTGGATTTCTCTCTTCTCCGCCGTACTTTTTCGTACAGTTGGCGAATGCGCGAATTCATTAGGCCCGCGCTTATAATACATATCTAAATACGCGTATTTATATATGTCGCGCGTATATTTTTATCAATTTTCGCGTATACTTAATAATATACTTCTGCATATACTCGATATGCATATGTCTCGCTAATATCGAGACGAGTTAAAGTAGACACCGCGAAATACATCGTAAAAATGAGTCCGTCGAATTCCGCTGTGTAGTCCGTACGGTTGTGACGCTTGGAGAGAGAAAGAGAGAGAGAGAGAGAGAGAGAGAGAGAGAGAGAGGGAGAGAGGGAGGGAGAGAGAGAATGAAATAGGGGAGAGAAAGAATGAAATGAGGGAGAGAGAGAAAGAACATATCCGTCGGTCGAGCTCAATTCGCGTTACGGAGAAACATTATTGGCGACGTGCGTGAATGTGATATAGTGACTTTGCCGGTGAATCTCGGCGGCAGACGAGACATCGATTATTCAGGACCAAGTGGAGCGGCGTGAAGAGTCGCTCCTCTCGTCGAGCTTATTTACCGCCAATACTTTTCTCTACGTGTCTATATCAGTAAGTAGCGAGTCGCCATTGGCAGCCTCGTCGTCGATTCGCCCGAAACCTGCTCAAGTTGTTGTTACTTGAAGATAGAAAAACAATTGTTGAGACAAAACTTCTTCCCTTGATGAGAAGGGGAAGCTCTTCGCGAAGCGATGATGTATTAATAGTTTTGTAAATGTGATGGTCGCAACGGGCTGTACACGTCGACTTTTTCGTCAGTACGGGATCGAAAAGTCGACAGTTGCGACGATGAAATGGAAGGAGCGTTATAAAGGAGGAAAAAAAAACAGGAAACGAAAAGAGGAAACGTGACCGTACCTGCAGTGAGAGAGAGAAAGAGAGAGAGGAAAGGGGGAGAAAGAGAAAAAATGGGTAACTCGACGTTAAAGCATAATAAAGCGTATAGAAGTAACGTTAATTAGTGAGTAACATTATTGATACTATTATTGCGTTTTCTATTATTGTAACTATTATGATTGTAATTATTCGCGCCGCACGCCGATAGGAGAAGAAGAGAATGATATTTTTTTATACATACACGCACTGCAAGTGCGATTTTGCGAAAAGTCGCGGATTGCAAACGGAAAATTGTTCGTTTGTCGGAACGTCTCGCGTCTAAAATTACCGTTGATTACACGCCACTTGAAAGAACAATGTCAATTCGTTACGGAGGAACGAATGTCGAGATGTCGAGACGCGATCGCTCTCACTGTAAGGGAGTGTCTTGGGAGAGACACCTCGAACGAGACACGGTGGCTTCGGGGAATTTTCGGCGTTTTCCTGTGGAAAACGGGGATAGAGTGGGCGAGCGATGGTGGCGGTGGTGGCGGCGACGGTTGTTGCGGCGCGATTAATCGGAACTGGTTGTGGTGCTTAAGCGAAGAAGGGCGAATCCGACGGGTATCTTTGCGCTGTGAATCGACGAAGACAATCCTTAAGGTATACTCCGTTCGTGATCTCCGCGCGGATAAAGTCGTCGTCGGGCCGAGCGAGCGAGGGAACAAACGAACGAACGAACGAACGAACGAACGAACGAACGAACGAACGAAGCGGCGATTCGGACGGCGAATGCTGACGTCGATCCAACGTCACCGCGCACGCGAAATGTACGTTGCGGCGTGTTAATGGCATAATTTAACAATGCTCCCTGCGCTATCCTCGTGGATGAGTGTCGGTGAAAGGAGGGTTAGCTCGACGAGAGGGAAGAGAAGGAAATAAGGGCTGGCTGAAGATGAAAAAGAGGATAAAACTGTCGATGGTAAATAACGATAAGCGTCGGAAATTGGTGAAATATGGCAGAGCCTGCGCGCGCAGGGAGTGGCGTTGTAGCTACAAGGTGCTCGCGTCATGACGCAATCGTACTCTCCTTATTTTGTAATATTTATATTAGTACAAATGATGTGGGAAATATATTCTCTACTTTTCTCTTTTTCTCTTCTCCTCTCTCTCTCTCTCTCTCTCTCTCTCTCTCTCTCTCTCTCTCTCTCTCTCTCGTGCTCAAGTCGCGACAGCACTTGTTACTGTCGCACCGGCCCGTTCGCTCGGCCCCGGCGAACAAGTTCGTCTCTCTCATTTCGGAAACGTCAATTCCACGATAGTTTTACGATAGTCATATGGTGACTCGCTGAGCAGCACGCGCCGACATGATACTCGAGCTTAATCAGCCTCGACCGTTTCGCGTCCTTGGTTCTCCTTACCCTATACTCGCGTATGTACTGGTTCCCACCCTGTGTCTCTCCTCGCCCGGATAAAGAAAGTCGCGACGAGTTGTCAGCGGCACGCTGACACACACACACACACACACACACACATACACATACACACACAGTCTTTGCGACTTGCGCAACATGCGCGCATACATAGGTATGTATATCTGTATTTTTGTATATCGAGGTTTTTTCTAATTACCTACCGATTATAAGCGTTTTCAGAGGAATGGGACGAGTAAGTAGCTATTAAGGAGAAAGTATTGTCGCTCTCTGCTTGCCATTTCACTTGCCCCCTCGATCGAACGATTGCTTCGAAAGCCGGTACGCCGATACGGTGCGATGCGCGAGGGAGGATCGTCGAATCAGAGGGGAGGACACTCGTGTCTCGTCCTGCATCCTCGTGATCGTGATCGTGGCTGTGCATCGTGATCGACGCGTGGCAACGCGCGATTGGTTGGTTTAAGAACTAGCTCGAATAGATCACTTGCTGATCCTTTGCCAGTCGTGTCTGGTGCTTTCGAAGCGAAGGACGAGATTTGATGGAATATTTAGTAATCGTAGTTGGTGCAGATCGCGTGCAGGTATTCGTATCTGACGTGTCTCAGGCAACGTGACTCAGTTACTGTTAATTTAATATTTTAGATTGAGAATCTTCGCTCTCGCACGCGTAATACACACGCGTATGCACACGTGTCTCACACATCTTCAGAAATTATTTTATTCATTTGTGGTAGCAGTACGTTTGGGAAAAAAAAGCTAAAACATTACTCGTACGCGTCCAGTTGCTTTATTGTCAATTTATTCCTTATTAATTTCAGAGCAAGTCTTGCGGGTGTGCATTGCGCTAATTTTCTTTTTTTTTTTTTTTCTCAAGGCAGCGGAGAAATAATTCCAATGCATGTAATTAATACTCATAGGTTAATGAAGTGAATTTAATCATTTGTTTAGAATAAATGTCGAATCGCTCAATTATACGTATATACTCCAGGGTCGCGAGTGGATAGTGTCGGGTCGTGCATTTACTTGTTTACAACTTGTACGATTAATTCAAGTGCCATGCAGCGTTCGACGCGTCGATCATCTCGCGGACGCGTCCCTTTTCGTTCTTTTTATTTCCCTTTTTTTTTTTTCATTTTCTTTTTTTTCCATTTTTGCGTGGTTACAACAGCGAGAGTGTCGGAACCTCTGACTCGGCGCGTTGTCCCTCGCACCGGATTCAGCCTTAAACTGACAGAATCTCTTGCGTAATAAGTCCGTAGTAAATTAAGGTAAAGAAAGGATGTAGGGAAGGAACGATCACGTTCGATGTATCTTCGGGCAGTTAAGCGATCGCCGTGCCAGACAACCTGTTCTTGTAATTATTAACAAGTAGCCATTTGTATGACTATTATTATTTCTATTATTATTATTATTATTATTATTATTATTATTATTATTAATATTATTAATTATTTTATTAGATTATTATTAATATAATATTATTATTATCTCTCTAGAGTTACGTTGTTAAGTAATTAATCATGTTTAATGCTTCTATTATTTATTTTGTTATCCCGTTCATGAGTCAAGCTTCTACTTTGTCCTCGCGCGTCCTCCGTTCTTTACGTCCTCCCTTTCTCCCTTCCTCGCCATTCTGTCAAATTCTTCGTCTTATCCATTCGTCCTAGCTGTTCCATCCCCCGGGACCGGAAAAGAAAGAGAGAAAGGGGGGAAGGTATCAATTTCATACGCGGACCGAAATTCGCCAGCAATTGCCAGGATAAAGCTCAGCGCAATGCGCGATGCTCGCGATATTCGCGCATCTGTTGCGCATCTTTGCGACTCGAACGATATCGAGAACAACTACTTTGAATCTCAAGCTCATCTCTCCTTTCTCCGTCCTACAAGGCATAGAAAAAGCTTGTCTCCGAAGAGATTTTGATCTCGCGACTCCCGAACGAAAGCATCTTTTGTAACGATAAATAAAACACGAGAATTTGTGTAAATTATTAATGATGGTGATGATAATCACGATTATGATGATGATTATTATTATGCATGATGATGATGATGATGATGATGATGATGATGATGATGATGATGATGATGACGACGGTGTAATGCGGATGATTATGATGATGATGATGATGATGATGATGATGATGACGATTGTGTACGTTAATTTATAAATTATGTTGTGTTTACGATTCGTGCCAGAATGGAAAAATATAATTTTTCAACGAATCATCTCTGTATTTTGTCATTTTGTGCCCCTGAAATTCCCTTTATTGTTTTATTGTCTTTTCGGTTTCCCTTTCTCTTTTTTACTGTTTGTTTTATGATGCAATTTATCTTCAAGTACTTTGATGAGATACTTTTGTGAGAGCTGCAACGTCGGGTTCAATATCAATTGAGGAATGGTAATCAGGTAATCAAGAGATTAAGACATTAAAGAAGACTGTGTATGTTATTTGTTTTATACTTATTGCTCGACAAATAGGATGATATACTGTCGAATCGGTCAAATCGCCTATAATTTTCCAATTAATTACGTCGGAAAGTACGTGGTGCCTTGGAACATCGAGAGTCCGTGTATCTCAGATACAGAATAGATGGTATATTAGAACGCAAAGATACGAACAATATCTACCACTTTCACTTTAAGGCTGAAACAGAGACAATTAACATAGGCGCAAGATCCGAATGAATTATTTTTACAAATATGTATACGGTGCGACTTTCGGGTGAGATACGAAACTTCGAACTTTCCGATCGATACGTAATTAAGGAATCATAATCAACATATCCATACATCAGGCAGTTAATGTTGTGCGAGTAATGTGTCGTAGTAATTATCTGAATGAAAATACTCAGAATATCGAGTGTGTAAATGTGGTTAAACCATCGAGCGCTATTGCTACTCCGTTTGACGCATATCTAATGCAGAGCAACTGATAAAAAGTATTTGTTTACTTGCGCGACTGCTGTCCCCGTCGATATCATTGAAGGAGACATTGATCAAAGGAATTCTCGAATAACATTCGATTGCGTTTATTTAGATAAACTGCACGACACTTTCCTGATTCTTAATACGACACTGTAAATATTACGAGGCCTTTAACGAACAAAGGCATATGCGTTTCTTTTCTCATCGTGTCGCATCTTTGTATCCTTTTCTACAGATTTACAATTCACGTGTCTGTACATCGAAATGAGAACAAGAATCTGTATGTTGCTGCACATTTACGGTGGAAAAAAAAAAATATATATATATATATACATATACATACACGTTACTTGTTTCTTACTAAAGATCCTCTACAATTCTTTGGCACGCACGGTCGTTTCAACACTCTCCTGGCGCAACTTCATCACTCTAATCTCCTTTGGAAAGTCACTTCTCTTCCCGTATATCTTAGGACACGATAGAATTGTGAAATTATCAAACGAATCATTACTGGCGTAAAATATTGCTCTCCCTCTCTCTCTCTCTCTCTCTCTCTCTCTCTCTTCGATAGATTCGATTTATGGATGAGCAGAGATCTTCACCAGTATGAAGCTTCGATAATCCTGGCTCGATAGCAAGACTGATTACGTTGCGAAGCGCTGGGTTCGTTGAGCAGCGAACATGCAGCATGAGAAAGGAAATAGATCGATATGAGAGAAACAACATCGATAACCTGACTTGACCCAAGTACTTCACAAATTCGTAAACACGTATGTTTTTTCCGCATCGACAGACACAACGAAATAGGTCAATGTCGTGAAACTTTTTCACAGCTAAGATTTCCATTGCGGTTCATTCATATCTATCAAAGCTGCGTTTTGCGCGACTGTTCACCAAACTTGCACGCGTTATAGTACAGTTTAACCCTCTATAAATCAATGTGATCTTTCGAAGTTATACATCTACACATTTATATTTTGAAGTCTGATCTCGTTTATTTACCATTTACCACAACGTGACTTTAAGATAATATTATTGCCACCAGTCGATGTTTTATGACAGTTTTCTATTTCTCAATATGACTATTTCCTATTTCTCAAGTCGGAATGAGTAAAAGATTATTGCAAATGATTGATTGCGCGATGTATCGCTGTATGCGCAAATAATGTCATTTCCTTTCCTCATCGTCTCGACAAACACAGGAATATTATACTATATAACAATTATATAATATAGAGATAAGTAAAGGTAAAGAAAAGTGACGGAGACATCAAGTGTCTGTGTTGTTGACAATTTTTTGCAAGGTCGAGTTCCTCTCCTTTATTAACGCGAGCTTCTCATAATTTTCCGCGGATTTACGAGTGTATTCTTTTTCTCTTCTCGCTTCTCTGCTCGAATTAGACGCACAATTGACATCGACTCGAAATTCGACGACATTAGACGCGTTTGATCTAAATTTAGTACTTGTATATTATTGTATTGTCCGTGTGAAATTTCGTAATTGTAATGTATCTACGATCAAATGAATTGTCGCCTAACAGATCAGAGGCGTCAAGCGGAGCTTCGCTCTGAAACTCGACCAGAGCCGCAACGAGAATTGTGTTAAAGGCTTATCGGGCGAACGTATATTTCGGTATCCGTCCGCATGTTTACGCTGCGCGCGAATGGAATTTCGGTTGCACACCTCATCATTATACAGCGCATTATACGCTCGCACGAACGTACATCGCGCGATCGTCGCGCAGTCGTATCCTTTCCAGCGCGATCGATACCCCGGATAAGCGCGGTAATGGAATAATCGACGTTTCGTGTAAGGGATACTCCGAGTTAATCGAGTTACCGATGGCCGCTATCTTCATAACAATATCGGCTGCGGCGGTTTTTTCGAATGCACACGGACTCGCCCCGTGCGTGTTTTGGTCGCCGAGTGTGTCGTAATGGTCCTCGGTTGCGGCGGCAATACGAAAAAAAGCTTCATAATTCGATTAAATCGCTATCGGGCCCTTAAGCGAACGGCCGGGGCCTGGGAGACCAGGCCGCAATCCCGGACACAGTCCCTCTCTATGAGAACGCGCGTATCGGTCCATTTGCCGCGCGCACGACGATTAATTGATACACGATATTACCGAGTGCTCAGCGATTCCCGATGTTTTTGCACGGTATTGCCTGTGTTTCGCC